CTTTCTCCATCCCACCGGGGACCCCCCTTTCTCCATCCCCGGGGACCCCGCTCCCCCCAGGGCATCCTGGCTTCAGCACATCCCTCCCAGGGGCCAAAAGGAGCTCATTTCGGCCCCATTTCTTCCCTCCCCCCCACAGTATCCCCCTGGGTTTTGCATCATCTCGCCAAAAGTGGGGCAGCCTCCGCTTCCCCCCCCCAAAACACACACTGAACTGCAGCCACGGCATCAAACCTGATGCCCCACAGGGCACAGGCACACAAGGAAAACCCAGAAATCCCCTTTCTCTGCTGCCGACTGTCTCTAGGGTCTCCTGTACCCGTAAATTGGTGCGACTGTTCCAGACAAATGCAATTAAAGTTGCCCCTTCTCCGGATGAGAAGCACAAGATGGCTTGGGGGGGGTGTGGGGGGGTGTGTGTGTGCGCGTTTTTAAAGTCAGAGTGGTTGATGCTTACGCAAAAGGTCTCCTCTAGAGGATGGATTTATAAATATTTCACCTACTTTAGCTAGGAAAGACTAGCCATTTTTAGAACACTCTTTCCAGGCAAACCAGAATCGATGGAGCTGAGCCGTGGCAGAGGGCTGGCTCCAGGCCCCACACCATGTCCCTTCCTGTGCCAGTGGACCCACAGATGTACTCACACGTCCTGTGACCCGTCCCTCAGGAATGCTGCTCCGGGGCTGTAGGTGCTCATTTCCACCTGGACATAGCTTAATGTTTAGCCAATCCAAATTGCATCCCAGTCTTTGTTCTTCCCTTTTCTGTGACACCCTCTGGAGTCTTCCCAGGATGAGGAGAGCAGGACCATTGCCCTCTATCCACCACCAAAGTGAACAAAGTGACTTGTGGGCAGCTGTACACAACAGGTGGGCAATAAACACCAATTACCCTGATGGAGAACTCCCGTGGCCATCAGGCACCCGCACCTGAAAGCATTAAGCAATCAGAGAAACAGCTCAGCTGCCTGGAGGGACCAGTGATGTTGCCATCCTGTGTTACTGGTGGGGAAACTGAGGGCCAGAAAGGAAAGAAGGGCTTTGCTTACGGACACGGAGTGACTCAACGGCACGGCCTGAAATCAGGTTTTATCATTATGTGATAAAACATCTTCCTTAATAGCCTGGATGGCAGGATGGAGGGGAGGGGGAGGCTGATACACAGCCCTCCCTCCCAGGCAATAACTGCTTTTGAAAGGCCACGTTGCTGCAGACCACCCCAGCTTCGCTTTCCCCATCCATAGGTGGGGACAAAACAGCACGAGGGAGGAAGGATTGTGACAGGAAAGGCCTTTCCAGCAATATCCTGCTGGGAGGACCAGCTCCTGCCCCTCTTTGCCCACACATCTCCTTGTGCACAGAGCTGGAGTCACTCGATGAACCAGCAGATCCTTATCTTCCACATCCCGGGTGCCATGCCCCAAGAAAAGGGCTGGTGGATCTTTACATGGGGTTCCCCTGGACCACATTCTTGATCTCAATCCTCATCTTCATTCTCTGTTTACTGAACAGGGAGTCGGGAGACCAGCACTCTCCTCCTGGCTTCCCTCACTGCATCACCATCACTTGACAGCATCAGCTCTCCAGGTCCTGATTTCCCCAGCTAGAAAATGGCTGAGCAATGCTTTCCCCACCTTTGCAGGTTCACTGCATCTTCCCCTGGATGAAAAGGCAGCATCCAGGCACCAGGGGTTACAAATGTTCCTACAAGCCCTACCCCAGCTGCAGCAGCTGACCCCACTTTGCTAAGGAGCCACCTAAATGCCAGTACGGTTGCTTCCAGGAATATCAGGCCATTTCATCAGGGATAACACAAATCATGCAGGAGATGCTTGCAAATAAGAGGCGCAGCGTAGGTGGGTTAGTCAGCAGAAGAACACACAGATCCTTTCTGGCTCCACATGCTGAAACCCAGATCCTCAGAGGCAGCTCATAAAAATGCAAGCCACAGGACTATGAGTATATATGCAAGACCAGAATTAGCTTCACGAGGAGGCACTTTTCGGCTGTTTTCCAAACTGAATTCAATGTTGTACTTGCAGTGAATCAAACACCCACATTTTTGCACTTGCTGCAAACTGCAAAGGGGAATCATGAATGGAGGGAGAGCCGAGCAGCGCGACGACAGCCCGCAGCCCGTGTGCCACCGCTGCTCAGAAAGAGCCCACAAGCACTCCAGAAACACCTTCCCCTTGTTTCCTGTGCCCTCGCACGTTCCTGGGGCAGCAAGAAGCACAGCAGGTTGTTTTCACACAATATCAGTTAATCTTTCCAGCCAGTGGAGCAATTAGTTCTTTAGCATGATGGGTCCTGCTTTGCAGTGACTGCTCTGCAAGAGCGTCGTCCCAGAAGCCAGGTTTTGTTCAGATTTGCTGTGGTGATGCTGGTATCACTTCTCTTAGCCCAGTCTCAACACAGTGGGAGAATTTAATTCTAGTAATAGGTTTCCTAAAGGTTTCCTCGGGGTGGGACCAGCTGAGGGTAGGCTTGGGACAGCAGGAGCTCTAGGATGGGCTCCTTCATGGCTTTTGCCAGTGTTTGGGTTGGCAGTGGGGGCCAAGTGCCTGGGGCTGAGATAGTGTCCAACAGTTTTCCCCCCCTCCTCCTTTTGCCAAGAGTCTACAAAGGGCAAATCTGGGCTGACACCCTCAGAAACATCATCCCAGTAACCACACGTGATGGTGTGATGGGCCCAAGAGCTGCACACGTATGTGAAGATGGGAGCACCGATGCCTCTCAAGAGCTATAACTCAGCCCAAAAAACCCACCACCAAGCAATCTTGAGAAGATAAAGAACACCTTGAATCACTGAACCTTACTGAAAAAAGACACGATGTTTCTTAAAACGGGATAAACTCTCCCTACAATGGGTTGAATTATTCCAGGCTGCACGTAGGATGCTCAGCAACCCAGCGTGAATGGTCTGGGCAGCGGGAGCGGCGGCACATGAGAGAGGTGTTCACCTCATGTATTGCGGGGTCAAGAGTTTCAAAACACGCTGGGTGATTTGGAAACCTTGGCTCAACTTCTAGGTCAAACATTAGCCTGAGATCTTGGCCCACTTGTTACAGATCCTGTAACACTTGTCTAAAAGGAGGAAGCTCTCACCTACCGCCCCACTGAAGTAATTCACACACCCGCCCTGATTTAACTGGAATCGATGTGCTTCCTCCTGTGGGGCACTAAAACTGTGCCAGAGGAGGATGGGCTGCAGTGAAACCACTGGGCTGAAGCCTCCTGAAACATACCTGTAATTTAATGACACACAACTAATCTCATTAAGGGCAGCAGGTATTGTCCCCGCTTTGCAGAGAATCACAGAACCACATGGGGTTGGAAGGGACCTCTGGAGATCATCCAGTCCAACCCCAGAGCAGGGCCACCCAGAGCAGGTCCCACAGGAACGTGTCCAGGTGGGTTTGAATGTCTCCAGAGAAGGAGACTCCACCACCTCTCTGGGCAGCCTCTGCCAGGGCTCTGCCACCCTCACAGGAAAGAAGTTCCTCCTCATGTTGAGGTGGAACTTCTTGTATTCAAGTTTGTGCCCATTTCCTCTTGTCCTGTCCCTGGGCACCACTGAAAAAAGCCTGGCCCCATCCTCCTGACACCCTCCCTTTAAGCATTTATAGGTGTTGATCAGATCCCCCCTCAGCCTTCTCTTCTCCAGACTAAAAAGACCCAAGTCCCTCAGCCTTTTCTCCTAAGAGAGATGCTCCAGGCCCCAAAATCATCTTTGTAGACCTCTGCTGGACCCTCTCCAGCAGTTCCCTGTCCTTCTGGAACTGGGGAGCCCAGAACTGGTCCCAGTGCTCCAGATGGGGCTTCCCCAGGGCAGAGCAGAGGGGCAGGATGACCTCTCTTAACCTGCTGGTCACACTCTTCCTGATGAACACCAGGATGCCATTGGCCTTCTTGGCCACAAGGGCACATTGCTGGCTCATGGGCATCCTATTGTCCACCAGGACTCCTAGGTCTTTCTCCTCAGAGGTGCTCTCTGGTAAGTCAGCCCCCAACCCAGAGAGATACACTGAGAGCCAGGGAGTGATGGGTGACCTGGCTTGAGCAGCCCTGTGGGGCAGGAGGACTCCTGAAGGGACACGGAGAGGGGAAGGTCACAGTTATTTGGGCCACCGGGAACATCCAGATGCTGGCCAGGTCTGTGGGTGGAGGATGTGGGCTGGGACAGCTCGGTGGCATTCCCCCAGCGCCGGCTGCTGCCGCCAGACTGGAGGAATGAGAGCAGCAGATGGAGGAACTGGTTTGGCAAACAGCTCGTTACTGGGGATCTGCCCACGTCAAGGCCGGAACGTGACTCAGGCAGGCTGGGCGCTGCTGGAGGTGCAGCCCGGGGAGGGGGATGAAGGGCTTTGCCCCCTCCCCTAAACCCACCATCCATGGGCTCACACCACGGGGCTGACCCCAAAGATGCCACAGGTCCCTCCATGTGCTCCATCTCTGGCTCTTCCCAGGTCCCTCAGAGCCAGGTGGCTGGAGCTTCTGGTCAGCACTGATGGGCCCGAGAGTAGAAATATGAAATATGGGGTTGCTGAGCTGAATAGCTCTGATCTCAGGGACATTTTTAGCTGCTGGAAGAGTAGAAATATGTAAAAGGGTTGCTGAGCTGAATAACTCTG